CATCCCTCAAAGAAACAGTTTCATCAATCCCACAACGAAGCATGCTTTGTAACATGTAACAACGCTCGTGCATTAAGGTAAGCTTTAAATAGCAACTCATCAATAGATTGGGGGTGAAATATCCTTCCCCCTAAACATCTTTTCTTATTATCTGCGAGAAAGCTTGTGACTTTGAAAATACGATTTGAAACCGAGGCTCGGTGAAGCAAAAGACCAAATGCTCACCCAGAAGACTCATCAACAAAGGATGGTCACACTTACCCACTTGATCATGGAACCAAAAACCCAAGCCGTGACTATAGTGAATGACAGCGGCCTTCAGATCATCAACGCTAGCCTATGCCAGTGCGTCTTGCAGTGCAATAGTGTTTTGTGTAAATATAAGTAGACTTGGCTTACATTTCATCAAATTAGTTATAACCTTTATATTATTTTATATACTTATACCAGCAGTTTGTGGATTTTAAAAAATCATAACCATTTCTTTTTAAAAACTTGTTATTTTCATTTTCATTTTTTGGGCTTTATTTAACAGTTTCGTTCATCAAATAGACTCGAGGTGAAATATCTTGCCACCTGCATACCTTGTCTTACCATCTGTGAAAAAAAATTCTTAAATTGGAAATACGATTTTGTGGCGTGGTAGCCTCCTAGTGGTCAGGCTATCGGACCTGTAATCGTGAGATTTGGGTTCGGGAGTTCGAGCCTCAGTTCGGTCAGGCGTTGTGTTCTTGGGAAAGGCACTTTACGCGAATTTCACGTTTGGATCGGTCCTTTCGGAGATAGACGTTGATCTCGGAGGTCTTGCCTCTTAAATCACGTAATAGTGTTGATAGGGGCGTTAAACCTATGCCATTTCACCATTGAAACTTTGTTGTTGTTTTTTTTTGGGGGGGGATACGATTTGAAACAGATGTTCGCTGAAGCAAGAGACTAAATTAATTATGATCACTCAGCAGACTCACCAACAAAGAATGGTAACACTTGCCCAGTTGAAGGAATAAACCTCCCAATATTATGTGATTATAGTGAATGTGGCAGCAGTCTTCAGTTCAAGGCAAGCCTATACGCCACAACGTTTTGTAGTGCAACAATAAGCAAAAGTAGCCTTGGCTTCACATTTCATCCAATAAGTTCCTCTATAATATATGCACCAGCAATTTGTTTATTTTTATTATAACCTTTCGTTTCTGTTTAAACGTATGGGTTTATTTTAGGGTTTAAAAAATATTAACAATTAACAATTAGTTTCGTGATTTCTTCCTTATGGCACCACATGGCTTACATCTAACGTTTTCGTGCCAAAAAAACCCAAACCCTGTAACTTCTTACCTTGATAAATGTACACTTCTTATACTTTTGGCCTCCTTATTCTCCAGTTCAAGCATATTTACTTTTGAAATTGCTATGGGGAATTTGAATTTGCTATGTGTAACATTTGAGATTCCTATGTTTACACTTGAACTTGCTATTGTTGTATTGTGACTTTTTATGACGTCATTTGTATATTTGGATTTGCTGGGTCGTCGGCCCAGAGTGCAATTGTCGTATATCCACTTTTAATGAAATCCAAGATAAGCTCACTCATGCACTCAAATTCCCATGTGTTGTATCTCCAGTAAGTTTCAAGACTCTAAGTACAGTGTTTATTGAGATACCCAGAACCCAGTTGTCGTATGTCCAAAGCAGATTTTTAAAAGAATTGTCGGAATCCCATAAGCATTAATTTCGATAACTTTGTTTTGTCGTATCTCCATATAACTGCAAGGTTTCAACCAATTTTTTCTGTCTTGATTTATTAATTTGTTAAAATTGTTCAATAAATGCAGGAGGGCTTTGATTTTTTGTTTTCTCGCTGTCTTTGTGGGTCAAAAAATAAAAATGAAGGTATTCAAAGGCATCTCATCTTTATTATTATTATATGAGTGGGAAGATTCTTTAAAATGTAGGTGTTATTTTAACGCCTCCATCGACACAAAGGTGTGAGTTTTATTTTTAGAAAAATCAAAGTTTCTTAAGTTGACCTGTAAGAACAAGAATAGTGGTATGTTTGCAAATATTGGGATCGTGTAACTGAGCTCTGGAGGGTGTGCCAGTGTAAGTGTGTTTGTGTGTGTGTGTGGTGTGTGTGTGTGTGTGTGTGTGTGTGTGTGTGTGTGTGTGTGTGTGTGTGGTGTGTGTGTGTGTATGTGTGTGTGTGTGGTTAGGGGGAGGGGGTCCTGTGTCATTTGAAGAGGCCAGATCTGAAACAAACAACGGAGATCATGGTTCGCCATTCATGATTTTGTTTTTCTTTTTCTTTGCGTGTTGTTGTTGTTGTTGTTGTTGTTGTTGTTGTTGTTGTTGTTGTTGTTGTTGTTGTTGTTGTTGTTGTTAATATTTAGTAAGCACTATGGGCCTGGAGTCTTCAATTAAATCTAAAAACTGGTGAACTTCCAACTGTGCCAGCTCTTTGTTGATCCTGTCTTGGACACAGAGAGCAAGACATTGCGCTACCTTAGAATCAGAAAGTTTTGATTTTGTAAGACCATGAAGTCAGAAACCAAGAATTCTGTCTACTCTATCAAAATCGTAAGATTATTCGGAGCAGTTATCAAGATATTCAAAGAATTGCATGCAGAAAAGCTTGACATGTTGTGTAACTAAAAATGTTGACTTCAAATTTCTCAAAACTAGGTACTGAGCAAATAGAACTTTGTACTTCTGGGGTAGAGAATGGCAATTCCGAGAGCATTATGAGACCATCAGACTGGAGCCCAGAATACTACAACCACCCTCCTCCCCTCGAAATGCAGCTCGGGTTTAAAAATAATTCAGTTAATTTTTCTGTAAAGATAAAGTGGGGGCTCTCGTGGCCTAGAGGTTAAGGTGTTGGCCTCTCATTCAAAGGTCCCGGGTTCGAATCCGGGTAGCGACCAAAAAATTTTCTTCTCTAAAATTGTCTCCTTTCACCTCCTTTCCTGCTCTCTAGCGTTGTTCTGTTGTCTGCTTTCATTTCCACTTTCTGCCCCCACCCCCTCACCTCCTTTGCCCCCTCCTCTGGGCTCCTGACTCTTTCTGCAGCCTTTCTACTGCTACTCCTTGGCTCCTTCTAACTGCTGTCTTTCTGCCACACCCCTGATCTTTTGGTAGGAAAGATCTACACCTAGCCTTCTCGGACAAGGGCGAAAAATCTCGGAGGGCCCGTGTTCAAGTTGCGCACGTTAAAGATCCCTTGGTGGTCTAAAATCGATAAGAGTAGGCTTCGGCCGCCACCCGGGCAAAATTCAAAATTTCCTACCAATGAAAAGGTATTAGGTGTGTCCCGCGCGCTCATATGACCTTATGCAGTTGCGAGCGCCGTAAAACCCTATACTAAACAAACAAACAACAAAGATAAAGTGGGAACCAAGAAAGAGAAACGGTCGTTTCATAAGTACATTGGAAAGATTTTTGTTTGCTAATCATACCCCCCTTCCCACAAAGATAATAGATAAATAAATAGATAAATAGATAAATAAATAAAAATAAATACATAAATACAAAAATAAATACATGACTAAATCGTATCTAAATAAGCACGCAGACGCAAGCAAAAGCCTTGCTCTGGCCATACTAAAGTGTGCAATGCCACAAACACAACCCTGTCCCTGTCAGCTGTGTCGCCAGAGGGCCTTAAATGTGGGGTCAACCCTCTCTTCTATAAGTTGTGACCCCCAAGGCTGCACGTAATGAATGAACGGTATACCCGGGTGGCCGGGTGGGCCGAGCGAGCTCAATGAATGAGTTGTGACTCACGTGCACAGACTGAGCGACGCCATCGACACGGCGGTTTAATCCAATCCGGCACATAAAAGAAGTGGTGATGTTTTCTGAGGTCAATAAACGGCCACAGACGTGTTAAAGTTGGCACACCCTGTCGATAGAACCAATGTGATCACTGCTTACAGCATTTTGAAATCAGTCGATACAAGTAATTGGTTCTTGTACGTAAAATGCTCGGCGCAGGCAAGAACAATCCATCACAATCTTTGAAGATGCAGTAAAAAAAAAAATCACTTTAAATTCCTCTAACCAAATAGGTTACACATAATCACACCAAAGCTGGCCAAACAATTAAATTTTGGAATACATAATCCAGCACGATACCACACTTAAGTCAAACAAACACACGCGTTTCAATTGCCTCATTTGGTAAAGATATTATGTGGTCACGTTTTGAACTTTTCGAAATTTTACGTGCACGATCTCGTATAAGCAAGCGCAACACAGCGCAGTATGCAACGCTTTTGACAATTTTAGGCGGGAAGACACGGTGTCGTTTAGACTTGTGGCATGCACCATTCTGCACGATCCTTCTTCATTTCATAAGTCCAGCACATCCTCGTGAAGTGCAGCATGATGATAGATACGCCACGCGAGGGTACACGCATTATAAATAAAAGATAGAGAGCAAGCATTGTTGGGACGTGAACACGCTATGAGGGTCCAGCAAATGTGTGGGATATACTGGCTCGTGCAGGGGCCTTTAATGTATCTCTTCCTTCCGGGGACTGGAGAGACCATGAGGGCCCGACTCACCAACACGGCCAGCAAGGCACGACGGCGCGCGTCTGTTCTGGTGAGGTAGGGAGGGTGGGAGAGCAGGAGAACCCACAATAAATGATTTTTTCCCGGAGGGTGAGGATATAGGGTTGAGAGGGCGAAAAGGGGGATTGGGGGAAAATAACACGTTTTTTTGAGGAGAGTAATAATTGTTGTTGTTGTTGTTGTTGTTGTTGTTGTCGTTGTTGTTGTTGATGTTGTTGTGAGTGTGTATACTCGTGTGTGTGTTGGGGGAGAGAGGCAGAGGAGACAGAGGCAGGAAGAAAAGAAGGAAGAAAAGGAGCGACAAAGAATAAAAGGGTAAAACAAGAATGATTTGGTTAAAAGCAGCCATAACGGAAGAAAATGAAGGACCAATTGATTCTTATCATTTTATACTATGTGTGTGTCTGATGGCACTTTGAGGGGGGGGGGGCAGGCTTGAAGATGAGTTGTTTGAATGATAGGGAAATAAAGAGAAAAAGAATGAAGGAAAATATGTTTTTGAAGCGTGTTTTCGAATCGTGGAAATGGGAATGCAGAGAAAAGAACAGGAGGAGCGCGGACAAGAACATTTTTAAAAGAAAGAATACTGGGGAAAGGGTTTGTGATAAAGGGACCTGGGGGAAACAGAGTGGGGTGCAGTTAGGATGTGGGTAGAGTGCAGTGGAGAGGGGGGGGGTGGTGGTGGTTGTGTCCTGGGAGGGGATGGTACTGGGAACGGGAATGGGTGATGTCGGACAGTCCGAGGGCTCTCGTAAATCTTGGTTCGTTTATCCCCGTTGTCCAGTGCTCAAGGGAGTCATCAGAGTGCTGGAAGACACGAGTCAAGAACAACGGAAGCTCACGAGGTTATAGTGGAAAAATGTTCTTTTTGTTTTGTTTAGAGAGATAGATAGATAGATAGATAGATAGAGAGAGAGAGAGAGAGAGAGAGAGAGAGAGAGAGAGAGT